CTATAATCCCAACATTTTGGGAGGCCGAGGTGGGTGGATCAGGAGGTCAGGAGTTTGAGACCAGCCTGGTCAAGATGTTGAAACATCGTCTCTACTAAAAATACAAAATAAGCTGGGTGTGGTAGTGCATGCCTGTAATCCCAGCTACTCAGGAGGCTGAGGCAAGAGAATCGCTTGAACCTGGGAGGCGGAGGTTGCAGTGAGCCAAGATCGCGCCACTGCGCTCCAGCCTGGGTAACAGAGTGAGACTCCATCTCAAAAAAAAAAAAAAAATGCACATGTGAAATATGTCATTTATATGAAAATGGATGGAGAAAAATGAAACATATTCTAACATTACAGCATAGAATATTTCATCAGCAAATGTCAATAAAGTTGGGAAACCCATTATTGCACGAACCTAAAATAAAACGAGTGCTCTCATCACGTCGTTGGTAGGGATATTTATTAGTAAGGAGATTTTAACTTTCAACTAGACAGCAAATATTTAATATGTTAAATGGTCATGCTCTTTGACAAAGCGTGATCATTGGTAGGAGTGTATCCTTTAGATACAACCTGGGAGAATCCTGCCATCGTCAATCATGTTTCCCTACTGCTCAGGGTGGAGCTGACCATTTCCCTTGGTGCCTTCAGGACCCCTGACCCTGCTTCATCCATCCCGCCATCCAAACAAGAAAATCTGTTTCAAGGCTCGATGCACAGCCTTAATGAATTATCCATGAGTCCACCCCAAGTGTTGATATGCAGCAGTGCTCACGTCCTTACTCCTGGAGGGACTTGTAGACCTCTGACCTCAGTCTTGTCTATCCCCTTTCTGTGTCCTCAAATGAAGTAGGAGTGGCGGGGAACAAATCTCTCAAACACCGAACTGAGGAAGGAAGTGGCTTTTTTTTTGGCAAGCAGCTGCCGGGGGGCTACAGCCTCATTCACCAAGTTCCTCGAGCTGTAGCTTCTCTCCCCTTTTATAGGCTTACAACACTAAAGGGGAAACTGAGGCGGAACTATGTTATTGTCCATTTGCTGGGCATCCAACCTTACAATTTTTTGGCTTCATTGATTTGCTAATTCATATGCAGCGTGAGTGGGGACCAGCAGGAGAGGGGGCTTACAGAGACAAGACAAAAGCAACAAGCTGTTTGTTGGCAGAGGTGTTTCCTGGAGGGAGCGTGGCCGTGGAGACATGGGAGCATGAACCAGTGCTAGGCTCCAGCTGGCAGGGATAACATTTATTTGCTGCTCTTTCAAGGTTAACAGATAGCAGAGACGCTGGGAACTAAAAAGGGAGTCATTTTCCCAGCTCTTTGGTATTTTATTTCATTTTGTTTCCTTCTTCACCCTCCTTCCCATTTGGAAGAGGGGTGGGGGGAAGAGGTGAAATTGAAGGAGGCGAGGGGTTCTCCTTTCTGTGCCCTCAAAGGCCCTTTCCTTCCTACCAGGTGCAAGTAGGCCAATCTTTTCTTTAAGCTTAAATTTTCACAGAGGATGGAAGAAATAATGGCTTCAGACAGCTTCTGCTTCCAGCCCTGCCATAAACCTCCCCTCAGGCAAGCGGAAGGGGCACAAAACCTGGTTCCCTTATGTAGTGAGGGTAAACATGGGAAAACAGAAATTAACCTCGCAGCAGTACATGTCCTGATACATTTACAGAAGGTCTTTCACCAGCAACTCAAGGTACCCAGGCTGGCAGGGTCTTTCCCTGGCTCTGGCGGTGGGAGTGGTGAGAAACCTCTTTGCCATCCAGCTCTATGGTTAGGAGACCTTGTTTTGTAGTCACTTACATCCATGAAGAAAGGCTAGCGATACCTCACTAGCAGGGCTGTCGAGATTAAACCCAACTACTAAGGTGAAGAACCTGGAGCTGAGTACCTCTAAACAATCTGCTCCATAAATAGTAGCTATCTTTCCTCCATAGAGCAGAAATAGTAGCTGTCTTTCCTCCCTAGAGCCAATACCCCTTAACCAGCATGCACATCAGAATCACTTTGATGAGCCTTTTCTAAACCCTCAGCTGAAACTCCCTTGTTGGTGGAAATAGGGCTTCTGTACAAAGTCCATTCAAGTTATTAAGATGTAATAATACTGGCCTCAGAAAATGGAAACATCAGTGTGGCACCAATCGTGCATATGAGTCCGTTTCTTTATTTCACCAACACTAGTTACTAATAGCTTTTCTCTTTTTTTTTTTTTCTTCGAATCTGAACTGTTGTTTTCTCCAGACCTGCCCCATTGGAAGTGTCATTTCAAACTGTCAGTAAACTTACATATCCAGAGGTTCCTCTCTTAGGGTTACCAGATTTAGCAAATAAAAACACAGATTTCACAGTTGCATTCAGATAAACGAAATAATATTGCATGCCACATCCAGAGAAACAGAACCAGCAGGGTGTGTGTGTGTGTGATAGAGAGATTCATTTTAAGGAACTGGTTCACATGATTATTGGAGACTGAAAGACCAGACACTGTAGGGTGGGCTTGGAGACTGGAGAATAAAGCAGATCCAATGTTGCAATTCGGGTCTGAAGCCTGTCTGTTAGTAGTATTCCCTTTTGCTCAAGAATGTCAGATTTTCACTCTATTCAGGTCTCCAGGTGATTAGATGAAGACCACCCACATTATAGAGGGTAGTCTGTTTTATTCAAAGTCCACTGATTTAAATGTTAATCTCATCCAAAAACATCCTTACAGAAACACTAAGAAAAATGTTGATGAGATGTATGGGTACCGTGGCCCAGTCAAGTTGAGGCATAAAATTAACCATCATACTTACACTAAAAAATTATTCATTTTTATCTGGAATTTAGATTTAACTGGATGTCCTCTATTTTATCTGGCTACCCTACACATGGAGACTGTGTTGAACCAAGGTGTTCCAGAAAGCAGCCCCAGCTGAGCTGTAGGTGGCATCAGCACCAATTGTCCTCCATATGAATAAACTCTCTCGGATGTCCCAGTGGAATCTAGCTTTCATACGACTACAGCCCTGTGCAACAGACAGCACACGAAACAGAAAACATTGCTGAGCTCTGTCAGCACTCAGATTTCTGAGAGATAATAAATGGTTTTGGGATATTTGTTAAGTAGAAATGGTTATCTAAAACATGGTTTTGGTGAATTTTTCCCCTTTTTCTGTAGTTTGTTATCATTGGGTAACAAAGGGATTCTCTTATCCTTGAAGGCTTGATGGGACATTGTTATATTAACAATTTTGAGTATAGTCTCCATGTGTATGTGTGTATGAATCTCTGAACATTTAATCAATTCCTTTTCGATGGGATTTTCAAGGGAAGCTATAACAATATATGATTTTCAACCTACTCTTTGAATTTAGAACCCAATTCCATGAGATGAGCCTATATTACAGTCACCTGAATTAAGGTACTGAGAGAGTGTTGTCACAAATGACTCCATGAGGAAAGCCTCAGAGATTGGCTTTGGCTTAGTGAGTATTCACTCTGAACAAGGGGTATTTACATACTTTGAGAAGTGCTTCTGAAAGATCTTGAAACTCTTTCTCCTGCTACAGGGATAGCCTTGTAAGGAAGCTACTTTCCATGAGCACACATAGACAGGACTCCTGCACCAGACAGCAGCTTGATATGCATTGCAGTCCCTGGCCTTTATGATTTTCCTGGAATGGCACTACTTGGTCAATAAATCTTTTTCAATTCTGTGGATCCTTTATAGGAAGCCCACATGCCAGCAAATCTGTCATCTTCTCCAATATCTTCTTTATTTTATTTTATTTATTTTTTTTTTGGGACAGAGTTTCGCTCTTGTTACCCAGGCTGGAGTGCAATGGCACGATCTCGGCTCACCGCAACCTCCGCCTCCTGGGTTCAGG